GCTCTTTAAATGCGCTTGAAGCTCTTTAAATGTGCTTGAAGCTCTTTAAATTTGCTTAAAGCTCTTCAAAGGTGCATGCAGCTTTGTAAATGTGCTTGAAGCCCTTTGAATATGCCCTCTGAAATCTTAGTACTCCTAACAACCCTAGTGAGCAATAAAAATACAAAAGCTTACTTTCAATTTCCTCAGTTCATTTGACTAGAGAATCTTTAAATTTTGTATTTTTTTGCAAATTACAATTACAATAATTGTTATTGGTAAATGGTATTGGTAACCAAAATATGTGTAGTGTGTGGGTGATTTTTTTTTACATGGTATCCTATCCTTACACATCACAACAACTCGGGCTAATTTGATGAAATTACTAAAATTGTATTATTTGTCATTTTCTTTGATGTTACAAAAAAATTAGCATATCGATACTGGTATCGAAATATGGATTTAAAATATCGATGCCATTTGACGAGTATCGATATTTTTAAAATATCGTACCTGTTGAGAATAGAAATATCGATAAGCGAAAATCTAGATTCTAGATAAACAATCAGAAAATTCGGTGGTATGCGGTAACTTCCGACACAGAATAGATATCAGAATTAAGCAACAAAACACATCGATTCAAAATGTTTAGGTGGAGGATAGGTTAAATGGTGGTCAATTCAAATTTATTTAGAGTGCTTCAAGCCCTTTTAAAGTGCTTCAAGCCCTATCAAAGTGCTTCAAGCCCTTTTAAAGTGCTTCAAGCCCTTTTAAAGTGCTTCAAGTCCATTTAGAGTGCTTCAAGCCCTTTAAAAGTGCTTCAAGCCCTTTTAAAGTGCTTCAAGCCCTTTGGAAGTGCTTTAAGCTTCCAAAAGTGCTTCAAGCCCTCTAAAAGTAATTGAAGCTCATTGAAAGGGCTTGAATTACTTTTTTTTCAATTACAAATTACCATGCACTTTTCTGAAGTAATTGACTTCAAGCCTCAATTACAAATATGTAAAAGGGCTTGAAGCACAGGGCTTTCAAGCCCTCAAAGTGCTTCAAGCACTTTTACAAGCACAAAGCACTCAAGCCCTGCCCAGCTCTGTAGAATATTAATTTAATTTTAAGACATGTTCAAGTTAGAATATTTTTTGATAAAGATTTATCAGTTTTCTTTTATTATATTTAATATTGATTTTAAGTTTATTTTTGTTGTTTTTGCTGCAACCGAATATACACCTTCCTTCAAATTCAATGCGGCTCGGCTTTCGGCTAAAATCGTAGTTGCTCCACATGTGATGGCTAGACTCTAGTAATTTAGGTACCGTAAGGTGGGGTTAGTTGAAACATTTTCAAAATTCTTTTGCCGTTACCTTCTTTATTTTTTTGTCGAATTTGACCTAATTGGTGCCAAAATTTTAGTCTTGTGGTCTAGTATCCGATTCTAGCAAGTTGAACACCTGCAAGGGGATACTTGCAACAAGTGGCTTTTTTCAGTAGTAATTGTATTTAGGAACGCGTGTTAACTTACTTGCAGCATAAAATATTTAAAAAAAAATAGATTTAGCTAATTTTGGCCAATTTTGGTCAATTTTGGCCAAAAATTGGTCATGGTTTGATTTTAATTTAAAAAAATGCATTTATTCAAGTATTATTATTCAAAAATACAAAATTAAACTTATTATTATTAAAGCTTCCTCCTGTTCCTTTGGAAATACAGGGCTGGGACTCTGTAACGAATAGAGATATTTTCTCTATCTTTTTTGACGTCTCCTCTATATTGATTTTAACAAGAGAGAAGAAGACAGTGAGTGCTATAGCGATACGGATAATGATCTCTATCCGTTACAGAGTTCCAGTCCAGGCTGCCTACCAGGATCAAGGGGAAACAAGTTTCTTCTTTTCCGAGAAAGCGTTGATGGGTCAATCCCGAATTCTCGCGATGCTTCCCGAATCCCTGATCCATTTTCGATGGCCCTTAATGCATTTTCCAAAGTTTCGTTGGAATAATTACGGTAGGTCCTACTCCCTAACTGTTTTTTGTATTTGCGAGGCATGTTGCAAGTTACCCACTTTTGTACATGCAATTTAAAAAAAAATCTATTTACGAAAACCTTCAAACTTAACTCAAAACTAGATATTCAATGTTTTAGACTAAGCATTGAAGCACATCACATCCAAATTTGATACAAATCCTAGGGTAAATAAGCTCTGCACAGGAGAAGTTATAAGTTATATTGCAACAATTTAGAGCACTTACCAGAGCTGTCAGAAAATGGCGCCAAATTTTTCGTGTTTAAAATTTTTCAACGCTAAACCTACTCACATTTCATCCTACTGATCCTTACTAAACGGTAACACGTTAGCGGTTGACGCGCGACTCAAGCGAGAGGAGGAGGAAAGCAAAAATTCCACCCGATGAATATTGTTGCAAGTTGGGCCACTGTTACAAGTACCCCCACCTTACGGTACTTATACATAGTTTGTTTACATTAAATTTTATCTCAAGCGCCCCGGAGAATAAATATTTGTACAATGTTGTCACATTGTCAACATTTTTCTAAATTTAAATTCTGCGATTACTCCGGAAATACTATGAATTGACCCATGGTTAAAAAGACAGTTTAGGCTTAAGATGTGCCATATTATCACATGTTAAAATATTTTTACTTAAATCTGATACACCACAACATACTTGAAGGCCAAAAGTGTGCAAATCGTAAAATTGTATTATGTTTTCTATCTATTGTCTTCCACCAACTATTCTGTACACTTTTTCTTGCTTACAAACTGAATTTTCAGTTAAGGTATCACGTTAACAAAGCATGTTTTTTTCAGAGAATGTCCCTTTCCGCGCCTGATTGAATATTGTCGGGGGAGTATTGCCACCCTTTCATGAAACCAGGCTCTCGATGGGTGGCGAATACTTAAATCATCAAACGGATACGGATATTACCATTAGGATAATTGGGAATGTGCCCCTCTTCCCTTTCTCGTCGCACCCCTTTTGCTTAAATATTTGCGGCGGTGGTGGCGTCTTGTTGCCGGTTAATTATGTGGTGGCTGGGAATCATCTGTTGTGTGTGGAAGCCTGTCCAGAATTAGATTTATGACGTTGTTGTCCGACAGTAATGGCCCATTGTATTTTAGTATGTAATGGCATTATCTTCTTCTTCATTTCAAATGTCTTTTCTATTGGTTTTTTCGTAATTTCAGAAGGCGTTAATTGCTAATCCTCAATTGTCTATATATTTTTACATTTAATTTAGGATCACAACCTGAATATCAGAAAATCATATATCTGTTGATTTGAAACAAGTTTATTTAGGCCCGGTTTATTCATCTTCAGAGAAACCTGCTGGTACTATCTGCAAGATAAATTTACCGTTCTATAATTCTATCGGTCGGCGGATAACTGGCCGACCAATGGAATTATAGATTGCGATTTCATCCGTCAGATTACATATCTGACAGTTTATCAGAAGGTGAATAAACCGGCCCATAATGAAATGTTTTTTTTCCTTTTCGCTTATTTTAGGGTCTTTTTATGCAATTTCTTCAACCCTCGAGGAGATTGTATAATTTGATGGCTGAAAGACGAAAGACCTAAGTAATTATTTTAAGAGGAGGAATGAAAGTTGTGTATTTTCGTGCAAATATTTAATTATTCAAAAATCAGTGTAGAGCGCTTTCGGCCTTAGGCCATCATCAGTGAAACGAAGTAAAACTTGTCAATCTCAGAGTGGGGTCTTGCCTACTTACTTCATCAGGTAATCAAGTGCAGAAAAATTCAATAAAATCGGGACGACACATTGGACAAGTACGTACGTAACAACAACACTTTAAAATTAGAATATTATATCACATTTTTTATATAAAGGAACTAAGTTATAGACATTACTCTCACAATGCTGGCTTTAGGGTCCAATCTGTTGAACTTTTAGAATTTTGGTCAATTGTGCCTTAATTTTTCGTAGTTTTTGAAATTAATCTTTATGTTAAATCCTAAATTTAAGATTTTTAGAATTTTTATTAAAAAAGCGTGTCGTTCGGAAACCAGAACCCATCGAATGAAGATGACTTTCAAATTTTGAATTGACATGATGATTATCGAAGAAAGTTGACACTTCGAGACAAACACATGGCCAAAGCGAACCCAGGTTAGGTTTTAAATCAAATGGAATAAGAAAAGGAGCAAAGAAGAGACATTGAGGGAAAAACAACATGGCCGTCGAGTCCACACAACGATGGTCAAGAGGAACATTTTAAAGGCGTCTATGCAAAGGGATGTATGATCTATTCAGATTTACCTGAGTGTTAAGACATAGTTCATTGTTGCGCAACTCTTTACTGATCTCAATATCTTCCATGAAGTCCAAACGATTGAAATTTTTAGAAGAAATATTATGGAGGATTTTTGAATTAGAAAATCCTCCACAATATTTCTTCTAAAAATTTCAATCGTTTGGACTTCATGGAAGATATTGAGATCAGGAAAGAGTTGCGCAACAATGAACTATGTCTTAACACTCAGGTAAATCTGAATAGATCATACATCCCTTTGCATAGACGCCTTTAAAATGTTCCTCTTGACCATCGTTGTGTGGACTCGACGGCCATGTTGTTTTTCCCTCGATGTCTCTTCTTTTCTTCTTTTCTTATTCCATTTGATTTACAACCTAACCTGGGTTCGCTTTGGCCATGTATCTGTCTCGAAGTGTCAACTGTCTTCGATAATCATCATGTCAATTCAAAATTTGAAAGTCATCTTCATTCGATGGGTTCTGGTTTCCGAACGACACGCTTGTTACTGTTCCTTTTTATTATCAATTAACATTTTTATTTTACCTATTTTCATTTTTACCTTTACTAGTTTACCAGTAACATTTATATAATTTAATATTAGTCAGAAAGTTGAGAGTCTGTCTTAATTTCTCCTAAGAAATAATTTCGTCTTTCGAACCAGGATACATTTAAAGATATTCTAGGTAAGCAACAATACTTGGTCCTTCGAAGCTATTTACGATAAAGCCAACACTATGAATGAACAGAAATCACAGAAGTCTGAAGCTCCCCAGAAAAGTAAGAGACTAGCAGAGAAGATGACAGCCAAAGCTAAGTCCGACGGTAGTCTAAAAGAAAACACGGTTTCTTCTAAGGGATCAAAAGCAAAGTCTGACGTCTATGAATCCCTGAATGCCGACAGCAAGGAGAAAAACTGTGAAAACCGAAGTTCAAGCAATAAAACGGCAGCATCAGCTAGAACTGCTAGAAGCAATATTTCGCGGAGAAGAAAAGAGGCTGAAATCGAAGCAAAAATCAAGAAGACAGCTTTAGAGCAAGAAATGTTAAAGAATCAACAAGAAATGGTTGATCTGGAACTTGCAAGAAAGCTAGTATTAATTGAAGAGTGTGATGAAAAGGAATTTGATGATTCTGGAGAAGATGAATGTGAGTCAGTGGTAAGTTACAAACCAAATATCCAAAAATGGGTTCATGATGGAAATTGTCCATGGAACGAGAAACCAAATTCCAAGATAGTCTTCAAGTAGAAACGTCCCAGGTACGTGATTTATCTACATTTAATCAGGGTCAGCAAGTTTATTCTATGCCAAGGAATAATATTCATTTTGACCAACAAGAAAATTCTAATATTGTTAAAGTTTTGACCAGGCAATCAATTCCTAAAGAACTTCCTATATTTTCTGGTGATCCTTCAGAATGGCCTAATTTTGTCCACCAATATAGACATTCAACAACTATTTGTGGTTATTCAGAAGAAGAAAATCAATTAAGATTACAAAAATGTCTGAAAGGTAATGCAAAACGTATTGTGCAATCTTTATTAATTTTACCAAATAATGTTGACAAAGTAATTGCACTTTTGGAAAGTAGTTTTGGTCGTCCAGAACATATAATTGCTATTTTATTACAAAATGTTAGGAAATTGCCTTGTATTAAAGAAGATAAATTAGATTTGTTCATAAATTTTGCTGATGAAGTTAAAAATCTTGTTGCAACACTTGAAACTCTACAAGAAGACGATCATTTGCGCAATCCTTTATTATCACAAGAACTTTTGGACAAGCTTCCCACATCCTTTAGACTTAACTGGGTGGAGCATATTACTGAAATAAAGAAGTCAAGAAAAATCGTTCAATTAATTGAATTTTCTTTGTGGCTTGACAAAAAATCAAACGCAGCTTGTCAGCTTCAAATTCCAAAATTTGACGCAACATATAACCACCATAATAATGATTACAGAACTGGTTTTCGTCAAGGTAGAAAAAGTTATACCTTAACTACCGACCAGGTAAATGCAAAAAGACTTGCATTTGCTGCCACAAAGACGTTCACAAGTTGAATACATGCTCCAAATTTAAATCTTTTAATATTGAAGAAAGATGGTCTTTTGTTACAAAAAATAAAATTTGTTTTTCTTGTCTTATTCCATTCCACAACATAAAAACTTGTAAAAATAGACATATTTGTACTATTAATGGGTGTAAAAGGTCACACCATGAGCTTTTGCACAAAAATGATGTGCAAATACGAACACTCAGGTAAATGAGCATGCCTCTGAAATTAATTGCCACATTGTAACAGATAAAAGAGTTTTATTAAAGATAATACCTTATTCTATTTAATGGTGATATTAAAGTTAATACCTTTGCTCTTTTGGATGATGCTTCCACGGTCACACTGATTGATCAGGATCTAGCTGATGATTTATGTCTCTCTGGTCCCCAATCTTCATTATGTTTGCAGTGGACTAATAATCAAACAAAAGAACAAGACGATTCTAGGGTAGTTTGTCTTAAAATTTCGTCCCAAGAAAATCACGATCGACATTTTTATTTACGTCATGCTAGAACCATAAAAGGACTTTCTCTTCCAAAACAAAGCATTAATATCGAGTCTATGGCGAATAAATACCCATATATTGGTAATAAAGTTGATAGGATTCAATCAATGAATGAGGCTCAACCAAGAATTTTAATTAGGCAAGATAACTGGCTATTATTGGTGAGTAGGGAGGTTATACCAGGACCATGGCATGGACCCGTATTGAGTCGTACTCTTTTAGGATGGGTTATTCATGGGAATTATAGTCTTCGTCAAAATTCTACTTCCAAACAGTTTGTTTGTCACATCGATTTCAAAGTCAAAGATGAATTGGATTTATTGCATGATTTGGTCAAATCTCAATGGAAAATTGACACAATATTTGATTCAGATACAAGGGCTGTTTCAAAGGAAGATATCCGAGCGCAGGCCATTTTGGATGCAACAATGCATAGGGTTGGCGATCGATTTGAAACAGGACTAATTTGGAGAGACAAAAATATTGTTTTACCTGAGAGTAAGGTCAACGCCATGCAACGTCTTCGATGTACTGAGAGAAAAATGGACAAAAACCCAGAATTTGCAAAAGCATATTGCGACAAAATTGAAGACATGGAAAATAAAGGATACATTAGACAACTGACTAAAGAAGAATTGAAATTTCCAAACGATAAAGAATGGTATTTACCTCATTTTGGCATTATTAATCCAAATAAGAAAAAACTTAGAATAGTTTTTGATGCATCTGCAAAATCTAATGGTATGTGTTTAAATGATTTTCTTTTGACTGGTCCAGACTTATACAATTCATTGCATAGTATTCTGCTTAATTTTAGAATAAGAAAATATGCGTTTACTGCTGACATCAAAGAAATGTTTTTACAGGTATTAGTAAGAAAAGAAGATCGCGCAGCTCAAAGAATACTATACAGAGGAATGAATAGAAGACAAGAACCAGAAGTTTATGAAATAAATGTTGTGTTTTTTGGCTCAACAAGTGGTCCTTGTTTAGCGCAGGAAGCCAAGAATAAAAACGCTCGTGAGTTTATTCATAGTCATCCTAGGGCAGTCAATGATATTCTATACAACCATTACATGGACGATTATTTAGGCTCAGCAGACACAATCGAAAAAGGAAAACAATCACGGTAATCAGTAATCAGTTTGCTAAGTGAAAAGTATTGGATAATTTCTATTAGAAAAGCAGTAAGAAGTTGTTGGGCAGAATGTCAATGGTGTAAAAATAGAAGAGCTTGTCAAGAACCTCCTATTATGGGACAGCTACCTCCATGTAGATTAGAACCGACCGTTAGACCTTTCAACAAAACTGGAATAGATTATTTCGGTCCCATTTCAGTAACCGTGAAGAGAAGTCATAAGAAAAGATATGGTGTCATGTTTACATGCATGGTGACACGTGCTGTACACCTGGAAATTGCATTTAATATGTCAACGGATGGATTTATTCATGTTTTGAGGCAATTTGCCTGTAGAAGAGGGTATCCAGAAGAAATTTATAGCGACAATGGACAAAATTTCAAAGGAGCAGAAAAGGAACTGAATGAAAATTTGAAACTATTGAATAATGATCCAAAAATTTCTGAGTTTTGCTGTTTAAAAGGTGTTAAATGGAATTTCAATCCACCACTAGCACCTTTTATGGGTGGGGCATGGGAACGATTAATTGGGTGTGTTAAGAAGCATTTGAATGAAATTCTTAAAGAAAAATTTCCTCAAGAATATGTTTTACGAACAGCATTCGCCGAAATAGAACATATCCTAAATTGTCGACCACTGACTCATGTTTCATCTGATCCAGATGACTCTGAAGCACTAACTCCTAACCACTTCCTGATTGAACCGTCCTATGCAGTTTTACCATGCACAAAAATTGAAGAAAAAAATTTGAATTTACTTAGTAAATGGAAAGCTGCTCAAAAATTGACTGATAGTTTTTGGCAAAGATGGTCAAGAGAATATTTACCATCTTTAATTTGTAGAAAGAAATGGCACCAAGATCATAAAAATATTAAAAAAGGAGATGTTGTACTCCTGAATGACCCAGACAGGCCTCGAAATATTTGGCCTAAAGGCATCGTTACTGAAGTTTACCCCACTAAAGATAAAAGAATCAGAGTTGTAGATGTACGTACAACAAATGGATCTACTTTGAGAAGACCTGTAGCAAGACTATGCATATTTGATGTTTCTGGACAATGCAATGATGTCAAAGAAGTATAGTATTTGTTTTTTCGCCAACAAATACTAGGGAGGGAGAATGTTACTGTTCCTTTTTATTATTAATTAACATTTTTATTTTACCTATTTTCATTTTTACTTTTACCAGTTTACCAGTAACATTTATATAATTTAATATTAGTCAGAAAGTTGAGAGTCTGTCTTCATTTCTCCTAAGAAATAATTTCGTCTTTCGAACCAGGATACATTTAAAGATATTCTAGGTAAGCAACAATAACGCTTCTAAAAATCTTAAATTTAGGATTTAACATACAGGGTGGGCCACTGAAAACTTACAATGGCTATAATTTTTGAACCAAAAAAGATATCAAAAAAATAAAAAATACTGTTTTTATAAAATCAAGGCGGAATACACATGACATATTTTTCAAACCACCCCGACCTACCCCTTAGGCGCCACCCCTACTCGCTTCAAAATCTTTAATGGCAACACCCCACTTGTGGCACCTTTTTGGAAAGCTCATGAAAAATGCTAAACGATGGTCATAAAATTTTTAGGGTGACATTGGAAAACTACCCGTCAAATGAAAAAAATTGGTAGAAATAAATTTTACAAAAAAAAAGAATTTTTAGCATGAAATTAGAGATAGGAAATTGAAACGACCCAGCTAAATTCAAATTACGTATTTTTCAAATCACTGCGACCCACCCCTAGGCGCCACCCCCACTCATTTCAAATTCTAAGATTGCGGTACCCTACTTGTGGCACCTCTATGGAAAGCTAATTGAAAATGCTAAACGATGGTCACAAGGATTTCAACCTAAATTAAATTACGGCTAAGTAGTGATTAAGAAATGTAGGTGTGACATTTTGAAAAATAGGAACCAAATTAAAAATGATCTAGATAATTTATTTTAACATTTTCCACCAATCCACAAATAAGAAGTTGCGGTAACGCAAATTCTTCCTTATCAGCTATTTGTTTACTTTTCTATAGCAACCCGACCCACAGCAACAACAAAAAAACAAAATGCATTACTTACTGTCTTCTATCATTTTTCAAATCATTATTTTGCAAATTTAGTGACGATAGTTTCCACCTTTATTTAATTTACTTAGTTAAAACTTCGAAAAATGTTTTATAGTGTGGAAGAAAGAATTGAAATAGTTTTTCTTTATGGTGCTGAAGGTAGGTGCTATTTGAGAACAGCCCGTGCTTTCAATGAGAGAAATCCGGACAGAAACGTTAGTCACGTTTATGTTAGGGATTTGATCCAAAAGTTTCAACGAACGGGATCGGTCAAAAATCAAAAAAGGGTAGGGCCCAGGGTACTGAATGAAGAAATGCAAATCGAAGTTATTGGTCAGGTGTCGGTCAATCCAGAAGCATCAACGCGCCAGTTGGCATCAATAACA